TCGAACATGATGAATACAACACAAACTATTGCTATCKTCCAAAATACTCCAGTTTCGAATTCTCCAATGCTCTGTGTTAGCCTCATTTGTGCGCAAAATATTCCTAAATGTGAGAATAAAAGTGTGAGATTTCCAWTCAATTCTATTATCTTTCRTTTCAAATTCCATGCGTTTTCTCGAGCTATCAATRAGACAAAAAAATATGTTAYTTGGTTTTGAGGCTAAMACAGAGCAAACCAGAACTCGAAATTGGAGTTATTGCAAACTTTAGAAAAACTGAATAATATTTTATTATTATTATTTCTTCGGTTTTACTCGAGAATGCTTTCACTCTTTTTATCATGCGTTATCATACTGAGTTGAGTTTCGCCATCTCTTACGTTTACAATGTGTTAGCCTCAATTTTGTGTAAAATGTGTAAATTTGGATAAAACTTGTGAGATTACAAACAATTTCCATTGTCTTCTATACTCACATATTTCTTGGATTTACACGCGCTGTTACTGAATAAAAAAATATTACATGGTTTTGAGGCTAATACAGTATAAAAGAGATCGCTAAATGGGTTTATTGCGATAAATTCTGGGTGTTTTTCATTTTCTGGCGGAAAAGCTAATATCCTGACAGATTACACCGATATACTTGTTCCAGGCAAGGACAACGGACAACGACGACCAAAACACCTAACAACCACTATTCCTATCTTTTTAGCAAGACTAAATATTATTTTATTAATAYTATCTCTTCGGGTTAACTTATTAAATTGACTCGCTTAATATCAGTAAAATATTAAAAAAAGTAAGTGATATATAAAAAATTATTTCTCCTACCGTAGCCGCCATATTGGATTCCAAGATGTCTGCCATGACGTCACGCATTCCCGTTAAAAAAATAACAAAAAAACTAACTTCAAATTGTCCAAATGCTACAAAAAGTATTAAGTTATGTGAAGACTCGACGAACACAAACACAAAACCTACAATTTGCTGCACAAAGTAATGAAAACTGAGATGTATTTCACTAAATATCCGGGAAAAAAGGAAATTGAACCAAACTTCATAATGCTGCCTCTATGCATTCTAATTACGAAAAAGGTATGATTGTATTAAGCCCTTATCAAGAAAATCTACATCCTGTTTCTAAATTTAAATTGTTAATAAATTTAGCAAATTATCGAAGTCATTAAGATGATGGCGTTCGTAAACAAGAGGAGGTTTTAAATTGTTTGAATTTATTGACGAAAGAGAAGCGTATAAAGTAAAAATGAGGTAATACATGCAAACCTAACTCTTTCATTTCTATATCGTTTCAAAAATAGGAGAACGTTTAGGTTTTGGTGTTTTTTTTTGTAATCATTTGAAATTTCAATCACGAGATTTACATGAAACATTGCGTTAGTTGTTATCCGAAGAACAGCCAACTTTCAATCATTTGAAGTCGAAATGAACGTGAAACAGACGGTCAATTTGAAAGCTCACACCCCTTGCCAAAGCATAATGTCACTATCATACAGGTATATTCACAAAAGATACTTAGTAGTTTCAATATATTTGACATTTAGACGTCTTTCTATTTGTATGTACTATTCAGTGTTTTTCTGTTTCATTAAAAAATATTTGAAATACTTTTGTCACCTTTCAATAGGGTTTGAATATGTTTACGTTAGGTGGCAAGTCTTTATCATTTATTGTTCACAATGTATTGTTTTCCTATCGTAAATGTAATCTGTTATCTCAAACGATGTGGAAATGAAGAGATCGAAAGCCCACTTGCCAAATTGCCAGACCAACGATCGTAACTACATCAAATAAAAGAACTTAAATGCTTGCATATGAACTTTCAAAGAAAAGAAAAGTAATAAAGAAAGAAAGAAATGAAAATAAAGAAATGAAAATAGATAACAAATATATATATATATTAAATAAATAAATACTAAATAAATAGATTAAATAAATAAATATTAAATAAATAAATATTAAATGAATTAATGAATAAATAAATGAAATGAATAAAAGAATAAATAAATAAATATATATAGAAATAAATAAATTAATTAATTAAACAAATAAATAAATAAAGATGCACTGACTATATCAATAAAGCAGTTTACAAAACAGTTTCTTTCTTCAATAAAACTAGCTAAGAATATTATTTCACCATGTAAGTCAAGACATATGGAGTCAATCGAAGAGAAAACTTACCACAGTTGAAGTCCGCATAGGACGACTTATGAATTTGTTCTTTCGTTCTAAAAGTTAATTTTCTTTTTAAATATCGCAAGAAAACGTCTAAATGACAAGAAACCCATAATATGCAATGATGTGGGCGGCAGATTATCATAATTTCGATGTATCATTTTTGAAGAATACCGCTTAAAGCTGTACAAACAGACTCAATAATTTATCGATAGCGTGCCTTAAGAAATAAGTAGATGGCAAAGAGAGTAAACAGACCTTAAAATTTGTGATTTTTTTATGAATATTTACAYGCGTGTATATGTTCAATGTACGTGTCTTTTAGTTCAATAGTTCGAAGCTTATATACAGACCTCAACACCATAATTACGTGGATTCTCATATCTTTTTCATGTGTGTTTTCCACTTACGTTATTAGTTGAACCAAAAAACAATGACAAAGTAGGTAAATGACGTCTTCCTTGGTGTTTACGTAGACATTTTATGAATTTCATATCTGTTTGCTTCCATRCATGMCACTTAGGTTGCTAGTCGAATTCAAAAACAAGGCGATAAAATGTTTACTTCGACTTCGATTTTGGTATGAATTTCATATATATATGTATTCAAGCAACGATTTATATGCCCAATAGTTCCATTGAATCAAGGATTGATTTTTTTTTAATTCAAACACATCTATATTTAATTTAGGTGTCTTTATATTTGAATTTAAAACGAGAATTAAATAGAATTTTTTTCCTGTATTTATATACATCTATTTTATTTACGGGTCTTAAAATTTAATCGAAATACAAGGAAAGTTTGATGAAAGTGTTTACTTAGACTTTTCCATGAATGTAATATTTCTATGCACTTGCATGCATATTCCATTTGAGTGTCGTAATACTTAAGTTAAAAAAACATGAAATAAGTGGGAAAAACACGTATTATGTAAATATTTACTTAGACTTGGGAATACATCTGAAAATACCACTGCCAAAGAACAAAAAAGATGGCAAAAAACAATAGATAAATTTTTGCTCTTACGTATTAAATAATAAATTATCAAYCAGTACGACGTTGCCAAAACTTGAGAATCAATTTAGAGCGCTTAAAGATTTAAAGCACAAAGATTCGTATTAGCGCCAAAAAAGGAAAATTCTAATTTTATCATTGTTTATATAATTGTCTGTGAAATTTGATTCTCGTAGAAGAAAAAAGGACAGAAAAAAATGAGAAAGAGGACAAACATTTTTAAAAATTGAAATTGCGCATTGGTAACCACATATAGCACCACATATATAAAAACGAAAAATAAAATGTGCTGTTTAYAATTAAAATTCAAAGTAACAGTAAAAAAATATAAAATAAAAATAAAATATATATATTATATATATAAACGAAAAGTTTTTTGAACGATATTACCATCTTGAAGATGACACTTGAAACTTATTTAAATTCATAATTTTTAATTGTAACTTATACTTTACTTTCCCATTGCGAAATACAGTTTCTCTTAAATCCAGAACAATCATCTCCGTTACGGCGGGCAAAGCACTCAGAATCTCACATGTACGGAGTTCAAGCAAAGTCGTTAATAAAAAAGAATCCCCTGCTTTGAAGCCAACACATGTGAGATTCGCTGTTAGGAAAATAGCCTTCTGTCACCAGCCCAATAAGATAAGAGAGAGCTGTTCAATTTTAAAACGTCTAAAAAGGTTTACTGAAGCACTCGATAGAGAGCCGGACAAATGGCCGTCTCCCTGCAGGGGTCGCAACTTAATATTAGTTTGAAAAATAAATTAAAAAGATCTTTAATTGAAAAAGAAACATTCAAGATTGCCTTAAGGATAAGATACAATTACAAAGTTCGAAAAGAGTTACTATTTCGAGACAAATATAAGATTTTCACAAAATCATCTGTTTTGAATGATTCTTTGAAACTCTAAGATTGTAATCTTTGTAGTAGTTTCGAGATATTTTTACCTAAGAAGTAAGGTGGTTTATAATATCTTTGAACTCAGGTTTTAACAGTTTATAAATAACACAAATTGTATAAAAAACGAAAACTAAAAGATAAAAACAAGTTTTTTTAAGTTACTACTGTATTTCTTCTAAACTTTAGAAAGTGAACAATGGAATCTTATCTTTTATACCTTGAAGAAATTCTTCTTCTCTTCTGCCAGTGCTTTGCAACGAATTTCTCTCGCTAGAATTTGCAGTTTTACATCACAATTCCACAGCCACTTATAATTCAACCAAAGAAACTCTTAAGTGTTRAAAAAACCCCAGAGTTTTGTTGTTTGCGTGTATGAAATCCAGCACGTTTCAAACAGTGCAAAATAGAAACAAAGGCTGATCAACTGTGAAGTGGTACACGATTCAATGTCCGTTGATTCGAGACGTGTTTACATGAATTATACATGAAACAGCAATGCAATCAATGAATATGTAATTCGCGGCGGTATCGCTGTTATCGATAGTGAAGAGAACTGAAACGATTTCAAATAAAACTTCATTAAGAGAACAGTCGTACAGACGGCAAAAGAAAGGAAAGGATTGAAGCGAGATAGCATCTTTGATAGCGGAAACAGTAAATTGCTTAAAAAAAAGTGGAATATATGTAATGAGCTGAGCCAACTGGAGTGATTTTCTGTCGAACTTATATGAAAAGAAAGTGTCCATCTAATTGTTACTATTTATAAATAACAAAATAATAAAAAATGTATTTGGAATTTTCCAAAAACTATTAGCCTTAAAATCACTCAAGATAATCCATAAACAAATTAAACAAGATTTATTCAAAGTCAGTTTAAGCCTTAGTGAGTCTCGACTCTTACTGTTTGGAAGATAAAGTTCCAATACCTCTAATAAATAAATAAATACTTCAAGATTTTTCTAACATAAAAAAACACACGCATATATTCTATATCGCGCGTTAAGCCGTGAAATATTGGACACTCTTGAGCCAATCAAAGAGAGTATTAGAACAGTGATTGCATTCGACAAATATCAGTAAAATTATTGTACGAAAGTTGTGTTTACACAAATAACATCAAAATTAAAATATATAAACATCGCAAGCAATTGTGCTATCACTAAAAACAGCTGTTCTCAGATAAATCTTTACTGCAATGTTATTAAAAAAGCAACTGTCCGCCGCGAGCGCTAGCCGCCATTTTGTTTTTGTTTTCGTCCGAACTTAACCGGGCCGCTTTCGTTAATTAATGCTCGGGTTCGGTTTTGAGGTAGAATCTCGAAAGCTGTTCGGAAATCGCTCGAAAGCTCGGAGATTGCTCGTTTTTTTAGGGAGAATCTTGAAAGGTATTCGATGAAGATCGAAGATCGAAGATCGTTCGGTTTCGAGAGAGAATCTCGAAAGTTCTTTAGAGAAGTTTGCATAAGATAGTTCAGTTTTGAGGGAGCATCTTGAAAGATGTTCATTGAAGCTAGGAGATTGTCCGGTTTTGAAGGARGATCTTGAAAGGTATTCGATGAACACCGAAGATCGTTCGGTTTAAGAGAGAATCTCGAAAGCTGTTCGGAAAAGCCTGTTCAGAAATCGTTCAGTTTTGAGGGAGCATCTTGAAAGGTGTTCGATGAAGATCGGAGATCGTTCGGTTTTGTCGGAGAAGTTCGGAGATCGTTAAGTTTAGAGGGAGCATCTTGAAAAATGTCCAATGAAGTTCGGAGATCGTTCGATTTTCAGTGAAGTTCTCGAAAGGTGTTCGGTGAGGTTCGGAGATCTTTCGGTTTTCGGACATCCGTCAGAGAACAAACTTGCTCAAAAAAAATAACTTGAGAAAGTCCCAAATTGAAAAACGTTTCTAGCGTATAAACTTCACGTTTAACTGGACTTTACTTCCGTAAAGATCCAGTTGCAAACATATTTCTAAGCGTGGGGTAGTTTGCTATCGCTCTTGTTCTACGTCGAAAATGTTTCTTCACTAGCGCTTTGAACATCTTTCGTAAATCCGGAATGCTGAATAACATGATCGTTGGACTGACAGCTGCATTGGAGTACAGCATGACAACGGAGGTCTTTCTGATGAGATATTCAGTCGCATAATTGAAGTTCAGTTGAAGCACAACCTTAGCTCCCGCGAACATCACGAAGAGCAGGTACGGAAGAAGGAAAGTGAAGATCAGCGTAGCAAACGCAACCGTTCCGTAAAGCCTCCAACGTTTTTTTCTTTTCAAAGTTCTACTGAGTTTTTCTTTAGCTTTCACGTAAAGAAGAATACGAGTGTTTGTGAACGATAAAATTATGCCAGGTATTATGTACAGGACTACGGTAAACCCAGTAAACATCGCTCGCCTGATAGGGTCATTTTTATCATAAACGCAGTCGTAAGTGAAGCTGACGGTACTGATATGATATCGTTGTAGTCCGTACGTAGCGGAAGGAATGAAGGTGATTATTGCGCCCATAACCCAAGCGCCTATGACAAGCATATTTACGTGTCGTAACCGTGGAACGCTGAATGGATGAAAGACAGTCATGTATCGCTCAATTCCAATTACGAACAGATTGTTGATGGTAACTACTGGGAAAAGTATATTGCAGAACCGTATAGCTCTGCACTTGAAGTCCGTGTCTATGACATCGACAAAATTTGTAGTGATGGCCAAAGGCATGGTTATCAAAGCGCACAGCAAATCCGATGCAGCAMGGCTTTGGACGAAGGTACTGGTGACAAGGAAGCGGTCGAACGGATTTGAAATACGCTTTCCTCTTACTTTCTTGGCTTGTTTTCTCTTGAAGTACAAGATCATCCCGTTCGCTACAATTGCGTAAACACCACACAAACCAASGATTGAGTACAAGGCAATGCGCACACGCASGTCAACGGGMAGAAAGACATATCTTTGAGTACTATTAGTTGTCGTATTGGCGGCCATATTGGATCAGTTCTCTCTGGAGACTTATCCCAGTTGCAAGAGCGAGATGCAAATAATAAAACGTCAACTCCCATAGTCTATTATACGATAGAAGGAACAAGCAGGGCTAATGAAATCGGAATTGCTATTGAGATGAAATACCAAGAACAGGATCTGTAATCACTGGCTATAGTGAATTTGAAATTCCGRGTTTTATGTGTTCGAAAATGAAATCATTTCTGTTGAATAATAGGACAACCTACGCTCAACACACGAGGTTTCAACTAAAAGTACTCAAACCACCCGTGGCGCTGAAAAAACAATCCATAATCCAATGGGGGGCAAAGAAAGAGGGCTTTCCACCTCTCTATCAATGAAATTATTGTATTTGGTATACGTGATAGYTATTTTGGTTCGATTCGCTACCTGATTTTTTTTARTTAGAATAGTCTCCTTCACGGTTCCCTACGCCATCTTGAAAGGTCGATAAAGGAACAACCAGGTTTAATGAAATTGGAATTGGTATTGAAATGAAATTGAGAGAAAAGGATCTTTAATCAATGACTATAGACCATTATCACGCTAAAATGTGATGGAGCCCACGCTWTCTAAMAWATAYATAATATATAATATAKAAAATTGCTCAAATATTTACAATTAAATATCACTATTTCCATTCACAATAATAATAAATAATATTTGAATMTACTAAATTTGATTTGTATACGACTAAGTATTAAATAAAATCATCTAAAATAGACTTCTTTCTCTCGCTGGAGCTAATGAAATCATTCGTCTCATCTTTAGAGGTTCTCAATTCTGATTGGTTATCCTCGTCGTGATTGACGTACGACACCATTTCAGTGTCACTATCAAGTGATTTTGAATGTCTACTCACTGACGTCGAGTCTAAAAATTCGTCCAAAAGAGACGACAAATGCTGCCCGCGTTTCCCGCCTTTGTGATCTGTTGTGTCACGTGACTTCTCCATGCCTGAGCCCGCAAGTACAATGTCTG